AACCATTAATTGGTTCAAATAAAACTGCCTAATCAGTTTATCACATTTATTTATTTCTTCCATAAATTAAACTTCAAGTAAAAGTTTATTTTGGCTAACAACAGAGCAATAATACAGAAGATTGTTTCTAATGAAACACACAACCCTGCGTAGTGAGCTTACAGCCCTGCCAGGGATACTCATATACCATAGTTGTCCGTGAAATCGGTGGTAAGTACTCCGTATAAAGAACCGATTCTTCCACTCCTTTTGTAGAGCCGAACGGATTTGTACTGGCTTCCATGGTAAAAACCTGATCTCCTTCCCAAAACATAATTTGTTGATGGAGAGAAGAAGGCACGCACTTGGAAGCGTGAATCCAATCTCGCCCTAATAAAACTGAGTAGGTAGTATTGGCATCCACAACAAAAAAACACGGTTGAAATCACCTTTGGTCCGACCTCAATGGGTGCCACTATCATCCCTTCTGGTTTGGTCGGTTGTCCTGTGAAACTCGTCATCTCGATGTCTACTGGAGACAAATTGCCAATCTCTTTGCCCAATTTTCTTAAAGTTTTGAGAGGCATGACATTGAAAACAACCCCATTATCAATAAAAACCTTGTTAACCGGCTTACCACATATGTAAGCGTTAACATAGAGTGGTTTTAAATGCGGGATTGCTCCTTCTAGAATAGGTGGAAAAACCATAGGTGGGGGTCTGCCAACCATTGTTGCCCATTCTGGTTCTTCCTCCTCCTCGAACTTTGCCCAAATGGGTTCTTCTTCGACGAACCATCGCATATCCGTCATCCTGACTTCGAATCCTGCTTTATCAAGTTTTACTATCTTGCTGCGCAAAACTTTTGTCTCTTCTGGGGCAAATGATCCAAAAATAATCTCAGGAGTCTCCTCTTCTGCATTTCTATTTCAGATCAATATTGATCCGTTTGCAGAATTGACATCGAAAACATCTGGCCTTCTTGATAGGCTTGTTAGTCTGCCAATGCTCATCAGGCTTGTCATTCGAGCTCTTCCTTTTGGGTGATGATTCTTTCTTCTCCTTACCCTTATCTACCCGCTTTCCATGCCGCGCTGCATACCTGCGTTTAGCATTATGAATTTGTGTGCGATTCATACTTGGAAATCAAAGGTCTATGTCTATTGGCATAGGCTTTCTATTTCGGCTCCACTTCTCTTGGACTGGATGTGGTTTACGCATTGGTTGATCTCGTACCACGACTTTATCTTTTAATTCTACTTTGAAAGACCCATCTTCTCTGTCCTATTTCTCTGCCACTCTAGTTTCACAAATTTTGAATTTCACTTCCTGATTGGATTTCCGTTCTTTAGGCTTGCGTTCTTTTCGTTTGGTGACTTCTTCATCATCACTTTGCACAACTTGTGAAGAACGCAAAGAGATCATTCCAGTGGTTACTTTTGGGAAGGGCTGATGCTCTACTCCCATTGTTACATATTTGAATCTCCCTGCTTTGATAGCCTTCTGTATTTCCTTTCGGAAATGTGTGCATTGATTAGTATAATGAGTAAAGGAATTATGCCACTTACAGTATGGCCTTCCATTTATTTCTTCCTTCGCTGCCAAATGCTGCCCTTTAGGAATGCGAATTTGCCCGTCTGCCAACAGAATATCGAAGATTTCGTCGGCCTTGGATACATCGAAGGTCGGCTGTTCCCTCTCCTCTGTTCCTGGAAAGGGCTTTAGTTTCGAACATACGTACGGTTTGCCACTCACAATTTCAGCTGCCATTTCTTCAATGATGTTTCCTTGTTCTTCATCTGGCGAATAAATTTCTGTATCAACACTAGCCATTTGTTGTACCCTGTTTCGACGGAAATTGTGATCTTTTTCTCTAAACAAAGACTCCAATCTCCCTGCTTTTGAGGCCAGACTAGCCAAGTCTTGAACATCATGGGCTGTCAATGCCTCCCGAAGTCTGGAATGCATGTTCCTGACCACCAAATTGGTCATTTCACTTTCCTCGATGATTGTCGGGCACTTGCCTTTCATGAGTAGTATCCGTTCAATAAACTGATACGCGGTCTCTTCTGGCATTTGTCGGATCTCTAAAAGATCTATGAGTGAGACCGTTGGGAGGGGATTAAAAAATCTTGCATGGAATGCAGCCTCCAGATTTTCCCAAGTTTGCAACTGCCCAGGTGGCAGATTTGCAAACCATGAAAAAACGGTCCTTGTAAGCGATAACCCGAACAATTGTAATTTGTAGAATGAATTATTGCCCACTTCCCCTAATTGAGCCGTGAAACGTCCCACATGCTCAATGGTTGATGCCTCATCTTCTCCGGAAAATGAATGAAAATCGGGTGGTCTGTAATTCTTTGGAAGCGGATGCTCATTGATGATTCTTTCTGGAAATGGCCTCTGGTACGCATGTCTGTTGACTGTCTGGGGGTTCATTCCAAAATGTACTCTCAAGACCTGGGCGATGTCCTCTGGGTCTACTCTGGGCGGGACGGGGTCCAATACCTGAATGGGATTGTAAGCTTGGCCTCCCAATCGTTCCCCCCTGAGGTCGGTAGGTTCGGTCCTAACACCCAGTGGAATATTATTCGGGTATGTAAGAGGAGTCTTCCCTCTATCAACCCTCGGGGCAGTAACACTTGGAAAAGTGCTGTCCACATATGAAGGCCTCGCAAAGTTTGCCTGTAATCTGGATGGTGATAGTTCTGGTGGAGTCTGGATGGGTTGCAGAGTAACCCTTGATAACGCCTGATTTAACGTATTTTGCATAAGGTTTTGTTGCTCCCGCAACATTTGTTGCTCACGCAACATATTCTGCATGGCCAAATTATGTTGGTTGTTTAATTGCTAAACATAAGAAACCCAGTCGGCAGGTGTTTGTGGCATTTCACCTATATTTGGCATGACGGGTGGTGAAACTATTTCTCCCACCGGTGTTGAAGATGCTTGAAGCTGTGAGCCTGCCATGTGGATCCTTCCGACGATTCAGCCGAACCTCAGTCGTATGAAACTCTCCGTTGACGTAGGATCAGCAATCTTGCCTTCCTCCCACTCTGGTCGCCAAATTGTTGATGTATTTTTCAACAATAAAAAGTAAAATCCGAAAATAGAAAAATATCCCCGAATTTGATAGATGAGTGCCTGAGATTAGAGATCTCTAAACACTGTAGAATACATAAAATAAAATAAGGAAAATAAAATAAAAGACTGGAAAATAAAAGTGGTGATTCCCAAAAGCAATTCTCTTGAATTTGATGTCAGTTGAAGATCCCTTCTCTGTACAATACGGAATCCTTAAATAACCCCTTGAAGATACGGTTCGAACCGCTATCCGGTCGGTTACCATAACCGCTGTTAACTGCCCCAAAAGTTCTCTTCTATTGACACGTATGAGAACCGTCCTACCACGTCCGACCTTTGAAACCGCTCGCCAGTTGAAGCTACTCTCCACTATCAGAAACTGCCTTTTTACCCGACCTGTAGATTAGCTACTTTTACTACCCGACCTTGTACTGTCTCCATTTTGTGTCCGACTTTATTACACCTAATCTTTGGACCTGATCCGACTTCAATGCCCGACCTTCTTACGCCAGACCTTTGGGATTTGTCCCGACTAGGTCCAACTTCAATGCCCGACCTTCTTACGCCCGACCTTTGGGATTTGTCCGACTAGGTCCGACTTCAATGCCTGACCTTCTTACGCTCGACCTTTGGGATTTGTCCCGACTAGGTCCGACTTCAATGCCCGATCTTATTAGGTCCCGACCAAGTCCAACTTCAGTATCCGTTCGACCTTTGGGATTAACCTGACCAAGTTATTTCTGCCATATTTGGACTTTCAAAAAGCCCACTGGACTTTTGAATAAATCTTAACCTAATTTTTGCAGGCTCATTCTCAAAACTCCTATCCACCATTTTTTGCGCTAAAAAATTCCGTTGCAAAATTGCGACGGAAATAGCAACATATTAAATTTGTTGCAGATTTTCCGAAAATTATGCAACGAATAAAATATTCCGTTGCAAAATTACGATGGAAATAACAATAGATTAAACCTGTTGCAGATTTTCCAAAAATTATGCAACAAATATAATATTTTGTTTCAAAATTGCGACAGAAATAACAACAAATTAAATTTGTTGCAGAGTTCAAATAAAAAAAATTAAATTTTTAATTTTATAAATAATTTAATAATTATTATTTTTAAATTTTTAATTTAATTTTTAAAATTATTATTTTTAAAATTTTTAATTTAATTTTTAAAATTTTAATTTTTAATAATTAATTTTATTTATTTATTAAATATTTTTAATTTTTAATTTTTTTTATATATTTTTATTATTTTTGATTTTTTACTAAATCTGCCCTAATTGTCACCTGCGATACTCACTCCCTAATTCTCACTCGACGCTACTTACTCGCAAACAAGCTTAGACTTGCCCAAACGGTTCAAACCGTCAGTTACGATTACAAACCGCCGGTTACGGTTTGTCAAAATATTAAACCGAAATCGAACCTTTCGAATGACAATTTCGATTACGGTTTATAAACCGCCAATTACGGTTTGAACCGCCGGTTTATATATACTTATTCTTAATAATTTATTTTTATTTTCTATTTTTCTAAAAATTTGAATTTTATTAAAAAATAATTAAATTTCATTTTAATTTTATTTATATATATTTATTATTTATTTATTATATAAGAACCATATATATAAAGAATGAATTAAATTGTTACAATATAAAAATAATTAAAATAATAAATATAGTAAATAATTAAATTATAAAAATATTGTAATAGATAATAAAATAATTTAAATTATATAATAAAAAATTATAAAATAAAAAAATATTAATAGTATTATTATTTTTTAATATTATTAATAATTATTTATATTTATTAATATTATTATTGTTATATTTTAAATTATTATGATAAATATAATGATATTATTATAAAATATACACAATTTAACCCTAATATCTAATCAGTACTAGCCATCCACGTCCACACTCCACGGACGCCGTAGCCACCCTCGCACACAGTTCTTCTCTTCCTTCGGACGCCGCAGCCGTGCCTGCGCCCGCATACACAAGTTCCCTCTCTTCCTTCATTCTTCCTCCCATTTCTTTCCTTTCTCCTCATTTCCTCCTTTTTTTCTTCTTCTTCTTCTGCTGCGCGCCTGCCTGCCCTGCCATGGTGAGATAAAAAAAAAAAATGCTTTGTTTTTGTATGTATGTATATGAATAATTTTGTTTTTGAAAACTAATGATTGCACTTGTTGATTAATCTTTATGTCATTGTTGTTCAGCTCCCGATGGAACGTGAGTCGATATCTATGTGGGAGTTAAGCTTTGTTGTATCTTCTAACCATGGTAAACATCTCTGATTTTAGGTTACTTCATCTCTATTTTAAGGTAAGGTTCAGTGCTATCATCTTCTCAAACAATATTATGCTTGTGCCTCTACATACGCTTTATCGTTTATTGGAAACAACATAGATTGAAAGCTAAATGGGTCATATACCGTGATTGTGCCACTTTTTCTAGTGATTTACTAAGATTATATTTGTAAATTCGTGTTTCTGAAATGTGTAAGCTAATGATTGATCCATTTTTTCGCTGTCTATTTCATTCATTTCCGAAACAGAGACATTGGATTTTAAGTTTTTGTTGAAACCAAAGTGTAGTAATGTCCCTTGCGTTGTGGAGGAGGGTCTGAACCGGCAACTTACCGGGGGTGCCTTAAGGGGGGACAGGGGGATGGCTGTATTTAATTTGAGTGGTGACGAGATTCTTGAGTACAAAATATGGATTAAAGCGGATAGGGTTTCGCCATTTGATCTTGCTGCAAGTTGGAGAGCACATCAGGAGAATTTTCAGCCTTCCTCTGTTCGTGGAATACCAGATATCAGTATAAATTCTGCTGCTGAAAGTAATGTGGTAGGTGCATTTGAAAAAGATATAGTTCTCAAATTCTTGATTTGCTCCCTTGTCAAATTTATGGCATTGAAATGATCTCTCACATTATAATGTGATATTGCAATTCTTCAATGTTATTTTGCAACTTTCATTATTTTTTTTTATGGAGTTTCATTTATAAAACTTTCAACTTCATTTCTACACTTTCCAATTTAGAATGAAAGGGCAAGTTTGGAGCTTGACATCGAGCACTATGTTGTCCCAACTCTAGGTACATCTGCAAATTCAGATTTGGTTTATGCGGCTAACATGGCTGCAACTCCTAGGTCCCTAAGTAATGTAGGAATGTTTTCCAAGATTGATGGATCAAGTGGGGCATTGCAAATGGCAACAGATACTGGTGTTTCTTCAGATCAACCTGATTCAATAGTAGTGTTCTTTTTCCTCTGTATCATTTTTACTTTATAACTTCTCACGCTTCCTTAGTTTCTTTCCACTTGTATTGTATCTGATTCGCTGAAGTTTAGTTACCCAATTGGCCAACACATAAAACCAAGGATAAGCAAAGGTCTTAAGACAGCTCATTCAAATTGAGATATATATATATACACATATATATATACACACACATATATAATTTTTTCTTTCTTTAACCCCTTGGACAAGGATTTACAAGCAAATCATGAATAGATTAGCATTGTGATGGTAATCATGTAAATTAGAATCTTGAACATATTTATTGGAATTTAAAGTCTTTTTAAGTTTATGGTCTTGGTTATGGATTGGAGTGAGATGAAAATTTTGCATTGCACCAACTTAGGTGGGTGTAGCATACCAGCATCTTCTTACACAAGCATGGCTGTGCAACTAACACCTCAAAGAGGTTATGGAAGTTGACCATAATAAGTAATTGGAAACCAAGAGTGTTACAAAGTCTATCCAGGAAATTAAATAGTTACCTTAGTTGGATGTTACAAAGTCTGTTAGAACTCTATGCCAGCAGCTGCAAGAACAGTTGCAGCTGCAGCTGTAGCAGATCAGTTGCTCTGTCTAAAAGAGGATAGGCATCTAGCGATTGTCCTGGTATTTTGCTAATATGATTTTCATATGCTTGAGGTTTGGATTGTTACATGGGTGATAAAAAATTTCCTGATTAATTTTATGATTTTCGTCAGGTTGGATTGTCTGGTCGTGGCAAAACTTTTACTGCTGCCAAACTTACTCGATATCTTCGTTGGTTAGGTCACAAGACTAAACACTTTAATGTTGGAAAGGTATTTTCTCTGCATTGTTAGTCTTTATTCATTAGGTGAAATTGGGTATAAAGAAAAAACTGCATAATTGTGTATTTTGACTGCAGTATCGAAGGCTTAAGCATGGAGTTAATCAGGTACTTTGTGGTGATGTCTTATCTCCTCTTGTTTTCCATATGTTAGGAAAGCATTTACCTAATTAATAGTTTCTTTTTACAAAGAAAAAAAATATCTATATACCAGTTAGATTACAATATAAGTTGTATACTTGGAATTCATATTTTACATTTTAAAAATAGGTCATAAAATTGTTGAACCTTAATGTCTTAAATATAAACTTGTAAAATTATATTGATACGGTAAAAGTGATGGTCTGTTATTAAAGAATTTTGAAATCAAACAACTCAAAAAGAAAACGTGGGAAGTTCTGAGGTTGGGATGTGGGGATGGAATATGAAAGGCAATATTGGAAAAGCCTTGATCCAGCTCACAAACATTTGTGACCAGGTGGTCACGACATATATTTGTTCAGAAGAAGAAACATATATTGTAATGCTAATGATGAATCAGTATTGACTCATGGGAAAAAGCAAAATGAGACAACATAAAAAAAAATGAATTGAACTTCCTCTTTTTGAGGGTTTGATTCCTTGGATGTGCTCTGATCTTGTGGCGAAATTTATGAAGAATAACCACCCTGACCTGTCCATATAGATTACCTGCAAAATCTAAAGTTCTTGCACGAGCAATGTACTGTTTTACATGAAACTTATTGATCTCTGTAACGACTATGTATTATTTAACCAAAATTTCTCTCTCAAATGTCATTTATACGGATCTGTATTGTTGCTACATACAATTCTTTCAACATGTGCTATTGTCTAATTTCTCTTAAAAATTGATGAAATCTGGTGTTCACAGTCATAGTTGAACATAAGGAGCATCTTGTTGGGAAATGTCATGATGCTAGGGATATATCTTCTTTTATGTAATGAAATAATACATTAGAGCAGAAGCCATATTGTTAATGCTTCATAATAAAAAAATTTATTGACTTGCATGCACACAAAAGGATTTGCAATCTTAGGAAATTATTTGAAAAAACTAGAACTACAAAATGTAATTCCAACTGCTGACTATCAAACATTGCTTCTGTTAAATCTTTCCTGGGTGGATCACTGTTAAAAATTTTCAGAATGAATATGGAATGGTTATTTGATAAATGAAATGTCATTTTCTAAAACAGATGAACAACATTAGTGGGTACATTCCTGGGCGGATAGTATTCTTCCTGGTGTGTCTCTTTGAACTGCAATATCTTTCTTGTCTCATCTACATGGGTTGAGGCTCATGTATTATGTATGGCACATGTTTCAAAGAGTTTTGAATTCTTAATGATGGCCATGTTTTGTATGTGTTACGCCGAGGGTAAGATATTCACTTATGTATTTTGATGTTAAGCTTTTCTTTGTTTAGTTATTAACATTGATTTATGTTTTTTTAGATTAAATTATTAATTTTTTTGATCATTTGCAAATATTCAGGGAATGAATAAGGTTGGAACCTATAAATGGGTCCATTCTAAAGAACACAATTGCGTAACATTCATTAATGGGAAAGCAACTAAAGTAGCTGTAAGTTGATTTTCATTATCGTTTTCATAATTCATTCTAAATAAATATATTTTATTGTTCAAATTTTGTTGGGAATGGATTATTTATATTATTAGATAAGCTCATTTTGAATTTTTTCTTGTAATGCATTCTTTATTATTAAGTTGCCGATGAATTTTAGTAGGATTCTTATCATAGCTTAAATTTTTATTTGGCGTTATTATTGTGTTGGTTGGCATAAGTTTATTATTCATCTTTAGGTTGGTTGGTGGGTTAAATTGGTGTTATTATTATGTTTATGATTCATTCTAAATAAAAATATTTTATTGTTTAAATTTTGTTGAGGAATGGATTAATTATATTGTTAGACAATCTCATTTTGTATTTTTTGTTGTCATGCATTCTTTATATTAAGTTGCAGATGAATTTTAGTGGGATTCTTATCATAACTTAAATTTTTAGTTAAATTGGACATATATTTTACGTTAAATTCTTTTTTATGTTGTAAATTAAGTTGGACCAAAAATAACCGTTTATTGATCTTAATATACTACAAGAGCAGAAATTTTGTTTTGTATTGATTGATTGAGCTCATGATTAAAGGATTAACATAAGGTACTAAAAGTTATAGACCTATTGAAATATTGACTTTAAATGGATTTGGTTGCCTCCTTCCGGGCATTTATTGGGGCATGTAAATTTTAGTGTTGCCACCATATTGTTGTTGTTGTTGGTTGTTGTTGTTATTGTTATTATTATTATTATTATTATTATTATTATTATTATTATTATTATTCATTTGTATCAAATATTTTTATGATTTTGTTTGGAAAACTAACATTGTATTCATCTAAATTATTTTCAGGACGAGGTGGATGCTGTTGAAGCACACCTGACTCAACAAGGAAATACGTCATATGATCCGGATAATGTGTTCCTCACCGCAGTACCCCGTGACAAGAAAAATCGCATTTATGGGTTGGGGTCATTAGGTGCGACTGTTCCTCCTCGACCATCATCCTTCTGCAGCGATGGTCGTACTCCGGGCACATTTATTCTTAAGGAACGATTGACAAAGATGGAGTGTGAGTTGGGTGAGTTGAGGACAGATCTTGCCGAGGGACGTAGTCAATGGGAAGTGATGCAACGTGTCACAAATATGGAGAACCAACAACGAGTCATCTACGATTTGAACTTGACCATTATGGAGCAATTACGACGTATGGGAGCACTATCCATTCATAGGTCCGAACCCAATTCAGATGGTGGTAGTGCTCCGATATCATGATATTTTATCATTACAAGTGTTTTAGTTACGACCTTAGTTGTTTTGGTATGATATTATGGTAACTTGAATTAGATTTATACATTTTTCTGATATGTGCTACCTGTGGTACTCATACTAAATACATTGTGTTTTTGGTCTATTGATAGTGTTTAAATTTGAAAATTTTATATGATTTCAACTAGTTCTTGTATCTTTGAGAAGGTATATTAATCGAATCATTAAATTTATTGATTATGGAGGATTGAATTAATATTTTTTAGATAGTTATTGGAAAAAAATTGACAAGAAACGAGCAAAAGAAATTGTAAAAATTGCGACGGAATTAGCAATAGTTATATTATCTCACAATTTGCTATTCTATTTGCCCATTGCAAAAACTTGCAACAGAATTAGCCACTGTAGTAAAATTCCGTAACAAAAAATTGCGATAGAAATGACTGTCACTAATTCTATTGCAATTTTTTTCAACGGAAAATTTTAATTGTTACATTGGGTTACTGAAATAATATTTACTACAACTTCCACTTGGTCGCAAATTCCGTTGTAATTAAAAGTTGCGACAGAAATTTTGTCAGTTGTGACGAAATTTTTCCGTAGTAATTTGTAATTTTTTTTTGTAGTGAATGTCTACTTAAACGATCAAGATGTTAAAGAGAAATGTTACTTATACCATCAAAGTTATTGTTTTGTATTTTTCGTAAACTATTTTTGTTTAGTTCTCTATTATTTTAGTGCAGTAACTGAAGTTTGGTCGTTAACTGCAAGAAATTAACAGAAATAGTCCTCTATCAACAAAATCACCACACAAGCATTGGCAAACCAAACTCAACAACAATGTGGCGATTGTCGTGACGAACAACCATTTATTTCAAATTTTTGTAGTTGGAGGATCAAACGTATACATTAACTTAATGAATTAAATTATAAAAAGGGTAATACAACACTAAAACAAACAATTTACCTTTGATATAAATATAGGCAAAGCTGCATAAAATTCACATGTTATTTCAAGAAATTGATTGACATCCTCCATTATTTTAAACTTACGTTAGACTTTCTTATGATTTCATAAACTCAATGTTTAACCCCCGGGCTGTCCCCAATTGACGGCGCTTGACCTACACACGCCCAAATTGCAATTGAATTTTATAATCTCTATTTTAAGACTTCTGAAATTACCAATATACCCATCATCTTCTATTTAGCTTGAAGGAACAGTAAAAAATTGGTTAGAAAAAGTCAACAACAACACCGAGCTTCCAAATTTCGACGTCCTATTTCTGACCGCAACTTTGGATCAGTAGGTAGGAAATAGGGTGTTTAAATTTGGAAGCTTTGTGTTGTCGGTTTGTTGTAACTAGTTTTGCAGGTTGGGTCCATGTATGTCAAATACGGTCAGTTGGGGACAGCAGGGGGTTAGACGCAGATTTTATTAAATCACGAGTGAGTCTGATGCAATTTTGGAAGAATGAGAGATTTGTTAAACCACTTATGGATTTTGTAAAGTTTTACCAACGGCGCAACACCAAATTCATCCTCTATAATAGGAAATTTTGACATAGATAAAGCCATTAAAAAATATATACATATCTGACCAAAAATAAAGCATTGATTTCGCCATCTGTAATCGTTTCAGCTTCATCATTGCCACCGCCACCGCCACCCTCCTTCAACGAACTCAATGCAGTCAATAGATCAATGTGTCCGTCCATTCCTTGAGGCCCGTTGGCATTGTGTTGTTCGATAATGGAACTAAAAAATGCGTAGAATATTTCACGAAGATTCTGTTAGTTTAACTAATTAATTAATCATATTTGAATTTTGATTATTTTTTAATTATCTTATATAATTAAACTGACCTTAAATTGTGGCCCACTTTTCTCCCATTAAGTCCATCACATTCAAAATATACGTGAGAAGTGGCAGAAAAACCGTGATGGACGGTTTTTCTTTTTAATTATAAACACTCTCATATACGGGTTACTAAACCTACTCTCAAAAAATTAGAATACACCATCGCTATTTGAGAGCCAGGGTTTGGCAACGTCATCCTAAGGTTCCAGGATCTGGCAATATCTTCTCAGGTTTCCAAACTTTTGGCAACATCCTCCCAAGGATTCCAAAGTTTGGTAACGCCATCTTCCCACAATTCCAATCTACCGTTTGCATGAATAAGAAGATCTCAAAAACAAATTTAATTTTTAGCAATGACTGGAGGTTTGTTTAAATTACGTTATTCGCTTCCGCTAACATATTCTAATTGAGAATAATTTTCTTACATTTGGTATCAGAGTCATTTCGCCTCTGCCTTACTTTGAATTTTCTTCTTATCAAATTATTGATCAAGATTCGTTTTAATTTCTTATTTGGAAATATTTTGGTTTTTTATTTTCAACAATTGCTTGGCGATATTTTCTTGATCAAGATCCGATCTTGCGATTTGAGAAAGTCTTCATTCTATTTTTTGAGAAAAAATTTGAATTTTATTTTGAAATTATTTTATGCAAAATATTAAGTTTCCGAATTTTTTCTGTATTTCGATGGAGTGTTCAGGTTCTTCTGTAATATCTCTGTGCACTTTATATATGTGTCAACTTGTATGCACAATTAATTACCTTTAGGAAGTCATTCCGTGTTTAATAGTTGAGATATATATATTTAATCGGGAGATGTTTAATCGGAATCACTTTGGTGAAGGATCGAAAATATTATCAATTGATTATATTCATATATGTTACAGTTAATTAATTGAACTTTGTCTCAATTGCTATTGATTTCGATTGCATCCATTATTGTTTTGGTTGAATTAATTGATTGATAAAGAGATTAATCAATGCTGACTGGATTGTATGGAAACTTACCTACTATGTACTTGCAGTATTACAATTATTTTATCTGTTTTAAATATATCCGGTTTGTTCGCAGTTATATATATTGAATAAATCAAATTAAATATATTTGATTATATCTATTTGTTTGATTGTCGGTTTGCACCGATTATGATACCTATTTAGATTAATTAATTTTGTGATATAATAATTGATTGGTGTATAACTAAAATAACTGCAATCATATTAAGATATGAGCGACTGTCATTAATTTATTGTTATAATTTTTGAAATAATTTGTGAGATTTGAATTATTCTCAAATATTTCAAAACAATTTGCTTTCATTGCAAATTTTATTTGTATTGAACACATATGATTAAATTGATTATTTAAGTATAAAATTATATGTTTTTTAATAAGGGTGCAATTATGAGGGTACAATATGGGTGTTTAATTATTCATTTATTCATCTATTTTGTGTAACTCAATTGATTAAATATGCATCCATGTTCATGAGTGTGCAATTATAGTTGGAATCGCACATCCATATACAACAGCTCTTAGTTTAGTTTATTTATTTAATTTTGGTCAAAATAATTTTGCAATTTGGCAATATATAATTGTGAATATTTATATGCAATTATGACTATGCATTTGCAATTCATGAGACCAGTTTATAGAATAATGCGGATCATTTATTTGATATTTGTATCAATATAGTGTTGTGATTTAATCAGTTAATTGGTAAACATAATTGTGAATTCATTCTGATTCGCCGCATCTATTATTTTCTTGGACTACTAAATTATTTTAATGAGTCCATAAATTAATTGTTGTTATAGCTTTCATATGTATTGGACATATATATTTTATTTTACGGTGAATTTAATTAGCAATAAAGAGTATAATGTATTTTATGAATTGGTTGAAACAGTAATGTTGCCAAAGCAGCCTCTGCTGCATAGATCGGTTTGTTTTATATGTTAGAAGGTTGTGTATATAATTTATAAGGCTGCTGATTGACCCAAAGGCAAATCAGCGATTAAGTAGTTACATGCATGTTTAATGACATTGATGTGGTGATGATAATTTAGTTATTTGTGTGTGAACAATAGATTTGTCCAAAGATGGAGTATTGTTCGACACACTACTTTATTGTCAACTTTCGATTGTTAAAACAAATTTATCACTGGCGAGTCAGTAATTTGTCCAAAGACAATTGTTGATGTTGCTCAATAACTTGTAATAAGATTGCTAATTTATTTTATAAATTCACATACGGAGGACTCAATAGCTTATAGACATGTGTACTTCAGATTATGTTCATGATGTTTGTGATTTATTTTAAATTTTATTTAATTGGGGAATAGCCACAAAATCCTTGATTAATTAAACATTTATTCATGATTTATTTGAAATCACATTAATAGATATCGATTGTAATTATCATGTACAATGTGATGAGATCTACCCACAGGAGTCTTGTTATATTTATATGAGTAATTAGGATAAAATATCGAGTTGTATTTCTTAATCTACCCGCAAGAGTTAAGAAAATGGAACACAATTTGATAGTTTTATTGTTAGATTTTGTTTGAATCTAATTGAGTAAAACTTTAGTCCACAGGCAAGTCTTATGTCTTTAGATTCATGTCTTAACATATTTACATTGGTAGAACATGTAATTTACTTGTCTCGTTTATTGATGAACATGTATATTTAACTTTGGAGCGTTTAATCCTATGAATTTCTCTGACATTAAGTGTGATGTCCCCTAATTAACTGGTGATAATTACGAAATCTGGAAGGAAATGATCCTCCTTCATTTAAGCTGGATGGACATTGATTATGCCAGTCATTCAGTTCTCCACCATGAGATTCACGGGTGTGAGGGGTGTGCGCAAGCACATAATGCGGATGCGGGACATTATCCTACAACACACATAAAGATAAATGGTTCATCAATGAATTGATACCATGTGTGTTCAAGAGGATGAAAGACTATTGATGGGGGGAATATGAGAAAATTTAGTCTGTAAGCTTAATAAATCTATATATGGATTGAAGCAAGCCTCCCGTCAATGGTATTTGAAATTTCATGATGTTATCTCTTCATTCAGCTTTGAAGAAAACGTCATGGATCACTATATATACCAGAAGGTTAGTGGGAGTCGTATTTGCTTCCTTGTGTTGTACGTAGATGATATTTTGTTTGCAATTAATGATAAAGGGATGTTATATGAGGTACCTTCAAGGTACGAAGGATTTCATGTTCATGTATAGACAAACTAATGTCTTGGAA